CATCGCGGTTAGGGCTTGCTGTTGCTTGCGGTATTATTTTCCGGAGTGGACATACCATTACTACATTTTTGTTAGCGTTTAAAAATTGGAAATACATGGTTTTGGTAAAAAACTTCATCTTTTTAAACTCTTAACGACTGTCGAGTTGTGTGTATCAATAGAGTGGGTCAGCAAATTTGCATTCTATGTTGCGCAAGGGGCAAGAGAAAATGGTTGACTCCCCGCGAGTGAAGCTGACGCTCCAGGTCGATGTCGACCCATTATTATCCTTCGTAAACAAAATTTCGATCATGTAGTTAAATTATAAAATTTCTTTGGCTTACATTGTGCGCTTTAAAGTAAACTTGAGTTGTTAGTTCCACACGAGGGTTTAACCTTGAAAAATGCAATCACGCGAGTGAAGCTGACATTAATGCGTGTCCCTATCTGGAAAACATTCGTATTGTGACAAGAAGGGTCTACTTTAAGGTTTTGGGTTACTCTCGCCATGCAATTTGGACGCCGAAAAGTGCCAAAAAAGTAATTACTGAAAATTCATCCGCAACACCTCGGTCGTTCTGTGGGCGCGAAGTCAGTTCTTCTCTTACAGTTAATAATTGCCAGGTGGATCTCAGATCCGCCTCAGCCTCATTTGCATAAATTCTTTTGATGAGCAAAGCTCGTCATGCCATCCCTGAGATTCATCTCTTTTTTGACATCTGGAGTCAACCAAGGACATAATCGGCCCTTAGCCTTCTTTTAAATAAGAGGTGCATGCTTGTCGATACACCGTTGAAGAACGTCACGAAAAGAGGCCCATGCCTCATTTATGCTGATAGATGAATAAACGTCTTCAAGATTTGCAGCATTTAGATCTTTGCAGAATAGCTTACGGTCATATTTAGCAAAGTTTCGGCAAGTAATGATTCGCGGATTGAAATTAACATTGTTCAGCTTGCGAGCATATCCTATGAGTTCATGATCACTCAAGCCAGCTGGGATTACTTTCACCGAAAAGATGTATGAGTTACGTTGCTGCAAAGAACATCAATTAGGGTCTTAGACTCCGCGTAATTCTCGTGGGGCTGGTAATGACCTGTTTCAGACCAAAGTAGGTGAGAATGGATCTGATTTCTTTGTGATCAGAGGACACCAAAAGTTACAGTTAATGTCACCTAAGAGAATACATTCTTTGTTTTCAGCTGATACTGTCGAGAGCATTGATTCGAATTTGCAATTGAAATTTACGCAAAGATATTTAGAAGAATCCGGAGGGCGGTAAATAATTCCAACTAGTAAACATTTGGTTTTAGGAAATAATGTTTCTATCCAGATGCATTCAACATTTTCTTGTTCGAGATCCATTCGTCTTTGAAAGGGAATAGATGATGAAATATAAACACCAACACCTCCACCTTGACCAGAATCCCTTGATTTTGCAATAAACGTGTAGCCCTCAATTTGGACCTCTGCTTCGCTTTCGGGGATAAACGTGTTTCACTGACGGAAAAATGAGTATATTCTTAAAACCACCCAGGATGTGGCAGATGTTACTTTTGTTCGCCAACAAACCTCGAATGTTTTGATGCAGAATTTTAAGGCCCTTTTTAGAGGCAAGATCGTTGAATTCAGGGATGTCATAATGATGAACATTTTTTTGTTGATCTCGATCAGCCCCATCCTGGATGTTTTTGAATTACATTAGTCGGAGTACAAGCATTTCGAGTGAAACTTCAAATGACATTGCGAGCAAGACATCCTGCTCTGTTTTTTGCACACAAACACACAACATCATCTCCAATATCCAGTTGCTTGTTTAATGTCAGCAGGGGCGCGTGGGAATTATTCCCCTCATAAGGAAATAATCGGGCATGTCCTGAGGAAGGAACCTTACAACAGTCACGTGTGTGGCACTCCACTGGACACCTGAAAGGAGGGGGGGAGCGGCGCTTGTCCACCGCTAGCTGGACCGCACAAAATCCACTGATCAATACAAAGTACCGCACCAAACTTCTTTGGGAACGCCTTCTTTATTATTGTATTGTACCGTGAGACTAAAAATTGATTTAAGAAATAAGGGACACGCAAATAGACTAAGAAATGCTTCAGGTAAATCAAACTTACATTAATGCCGGATCTGGCGAGAGTTGATATCGATCGAACCTTTCCTTCCTTTCCTTTACTAATTCCTTTCCTTACGAGCACGAGTGCTTACCAAAAACTGATCAAAGGGCCTTTTACCAAATATATTGAATTACACTAAAGAGCGCGTGACGAGCCACCTAGTGTGACTTTAAAACTATGAACCAAATCAAACAATGAACAGAAACTCGTGCTATAGGGGCACTTACAGTTAAAGAAAAATAAGTAGAGTAAAGGTGATAAAAACAAAGATTATGAGAAAGTAGCTGTCTAAATGGATTGAATATTGCTTTAATAATGTCTTGGAGTTATTGTCCGCTTCAGCCGTAATCATGGTCTGTGAGCAAGACTCAAGAGTTTTTTTTTTTCACACTGTCATGGCAGACTGCTTACTACATAAACATGGAGATGAAGAAAACTGTATTTTTTTTATTGCTTTGGTATCATTGAAACAAGAGATGGCAAAACAATACTTCTTCTTCAGTTCTTATCAGTACAAAGTCTAACTGAATGAATAGTTTCTCATTAATATAAAATTTATTATGTGGCTCCGCATCAGTGAGGACTTGCAGACTGGTGCAAGATTACTCAGCTCCAATAAGCTATAGAGAGCCTACAAGTTTTAGAATGCCAATATGACAATATGAAAGGTCATCCGTCGACTGCCAATCTCAGTAGGCAGTTAGCTGGATGGCCTAGTTTTGAAAGTTGAGAAAAAATGCAGAAATTTCTTCTTGTGAAGGGTTTTCAACTATACCTGGATGATAGTTAGCCCAAACTGAGGTAGGCATGACGAACCTATGATCAGGACAAAGGAGGAATTTAATTCATCAGTGATGAAACCTAACATCTTGAAGAAGTTGTCTCGTTTATCCATTAGTGATCTCCTTTTCTGAGGATAGGTCTGTTATGGGAATTGTATTTAACCCTTACTGATGTCACCTTATCTTACCAGCTTGTCTCCTGCTACAAAGAATTGTTTTCAGATATCAGGATAAAATTTCATTTCAAGACCATAGTCTTTAACCGTTCCCTTGGCTGGTTTGGCACTAACTCTTGCTTTGCAATAGCATCGTAAACTTTCAGGGTTTTGTACTACCCTTTTCTTGTCATTCTCTCATTTACTCATTGATTAAAATTTTTTTTTAACGTAAAATGGCCCATGTGCCCACAAATTAAGCTGGTAAGTACAATTTGGTTCACTAACTTCGAGCAGTTTTTGGGTTTCTGGTAGTGCTCAGTGTTTCTCTTCTATTTTTGCGAAGGTGAATGCAAACTAGGCGTCAATCGACAGCAAGGAATATACGATAATGGTACGGCGACGTTGTTTTTAGGACAACTGCGGGTTCCACCACGGACATTTTACGGAGACATTATTACGAGACATTCTTCGCGAACATGGCATTGATCTACTTTTCCAGCCCGTTTACTCACCCCATATTAGCACTCAGTTGTGAGTTCTGTCAGTTCATCAGATAAAGTGCTACCTCAAACAAAACATATCTTTGACAACAAATGAAACTGAAATAGCGATTGACGAGGGTGTATCAAAAATAACTCCTGCTAATTCAATATCATACTTCAGAAACTGCGGCTACGTCTGATTGACATTTTTGTTATTCTGCTGTTATTTTTAGTGTATCCTTGAGGAAAAAAAAAACTCGCCCTTGCCGCTAAAACAGTGTAAATTTCCTTGATTAAGCTGAGGACAAACATGTAAAACAGATAGAAGACAAAGCTTTACTGAATAGAAGTTGTTCCTATATAATATCATAGGAGTATAACTTGTACGTGTACAATTTCAACCCTCATTCACGGTAATGTAATCAATAAAATTGCAATGTAAACAAAATTGAGATCTGGCACTTGCCTGAATAAATTTAATAAACATAAAAAGCAGTAAGTTTCCTATGATACAGCGCAGATAAAACACAACATCAACACTATCTTTTATACGGGTAATCACTTACTTTTTCCCTTAACATTAATTTATAAAATCACTTTAACATACTATAAAATTGGTCTCGTTAAACAAATTTAATGCTAAATATTTTTTCTTAAAAAAAAGCGGGGTTTTCAGTTAACTAAAATATCTAAGCCTAACTGCTTCTTACCGAATATTATTCTAGCGTTCGTTGACTGATTTTCAGAAGTTATCAGTCAACTCTAAGATAAGCATGTATTTTATCAAGTTTTTTATTATAATTTACTAATTCATATAAGACATACTACATTACAGCAAAATCCGAGGAAATTTTCCATGTGTCTTAATTTTTTACACTCATACGCGTTTTGACCGACAGGGTGGCAGTCAACCACGTAATAACAAAGATGTTTACCGAATTTGCACCTCAAATCATAAATTTCATGATCACCAGTCTCCATCTGTTCCTGAATCGCCTTTTTCATACACTCCTTCAACTTTTCGTTACTTTTTGGACCACATGTGGCAAATTCACTAAATGTAAACGGGGTCGTATTAGGTCCACTCCTTTTAAAACGGCCATGACCTTAAAGCAAAGAAACACGTTTATTACCAAAAATGATACTTCTATAGTCGCTACCACCATCCCTCTCTTGGACACAAGTTGTACCATGTTCATAATGTTGACAAAATTCTTTTTTTTTACACCCTTTTTTCTTCAAAGGTTTGTCTTACTGAACTAACATGAAAATCGTCGATAGACAGTAGTAAAGAGAGAAAACTAAAGAACAAAAGTAAAAACGTAAATAATGTTTCATGCAAGATCATGTAATTACATTCGGTTGCACGTCAAATCATAAAAGTCTAGGAACAAATTAAATTAAAACGCCTGTTTATAACACACATGTCATCAATTACGGGCGGTTGATTTAGTTGACAAATCTTCTGTTAATATTTAATCCACCTCACTAAGCGAGCTCACATTAAAATCCATCGACGTTCGTTCAATGGTATAGATTGGAAAACTGCCACAGAAATCCAGAAACTTCTGAGGCAAAGCTGATCGCTTCGCAAAACCCCCCACTCTCCAAGCCCTTTTCTTGGTTGTCACATGACGAGGTGAGCGGGGCTGCATCGAGGCCTGTACATGAGCAATGAAGAACATAGAACCGAGACAGTAATGAGCTGACAGTTTAAAAAATGCTCCAAATTGTATTTATCACTTAGACACGCGTTAGCTCATGTATCATGTAGGGCGGCCGTCGGTTAAAATCCTCTTAGCATGCTTGCCCAGGCTAGCGTTTTATTAACAGCATGCAATGAAATTTGCATATTAATCAAATCTATTATGATTTCGTTAGTTGAAGAAACATGTGTCGCTGTGTTAAGGACTTGAAGTGAATTGACAGTGGGATGAACTTGCAACGAGGCGGAACCTCCATAACCCATAACTGAGGCTGCCTAAATATGGTACATTTAATAATCTAAATATATAGTTGTAAGAAAAGCATAGATGTTGGAGTCTCGCATCAAAATCATTTGTTTTTTAATAAATCTCATAGCTTCGGTTACTGGACCCTAACTGGAGCTGTCATAACGATTTTCCGACTTTTTTAAATGATTGCTAATGTGGTCGCTGGAGGTAACTTAAAGGTTTTAAGGATTAGTATATTGACTGGACGAATAACGTGGACTGTGGCTCTGTCACGAAAGGGAAATAAAAAAAGGTCAAACGAAAAAGTAAAGTCCTCTTCAACAAATACAAAGTTCTAAATGACATAGAAATGAAATTTCAAAACTCTTCACTCTACCAATAGATTTTATTCTATGATTTATAATCTCTTTGCTTCTACCTGTTCCATGTTGACCCTCATCTTCCCTGGCTCTGGAAAAGATGAATCCAGCTTAGATACATAACAGGCACGAGCTGATGGTACTCGGTAAACAGACAAACCCTGAGGAAAGATGTATTTATATCTTCATTAGTTTGTTCATTCTAACATTGGTGCAAATGCTGAACCGCCTACACAGTTTGGTATCGTTTAAATAAACTCGACCCTCCATCGCAGTCGTGCTTGCATGTCACGCGCGCGGTCTTTCTTTGCGAAGGAGATTAGGTAAACTTTGGGGTGAAATTGAAAAGAATCGCAAAAGTTGAAAATGATAATTTTTCGTCCACAGTCACGTTCCTGTGGGGTGCCACCTTTAACCTCAATAAAAGCAGATGATGAAAGAAACAACACATGATATGATGGCCATTACACAGTAAAGCTTATGCGCTAGTAGTTGGGCTATTTTATCCAATAAATCATTTGGATAAAGCCATCGTTTTCGTTATCTTTTTTTTTGTGAGTCTTCCCTTTGAATTCACGAGAATTCTACCAACAATAGTCTATTGTTAAGAGATCCAACGGGTTGCGTTACCACCCTTCAATAAGCCGCAAAGTCACGAACATGAGACATAGCTATGGAGTACAAGCATGACAATTTAGCTATGACTCCGAGGATCTTACTGCTGTTTCAGATTTGTCGCTTTTAGACGCTTAGAGACGTTGTCAGGGAAGTAAAAATAAATTTGGCCAGAAGCTCTGATTCTACCTTTATTGGATGAGAATACCGTTTACAATTTACAGTACATATCGTGACTGATCACTAAATTATCAATCACTTACGGGAGGGCTTCATGGAAGTTAAATTCAGACGAAGTATTTACGTATGGTAAAGACAACTTCAGTTTTTATTGTTGTGAGGTACTGTTTTTAATTCCAGAGCAAATCAGAAGCTATTCAGAGAGAAAAAAAGGCAAGTTTCAATGCCGATTTTAGCTAATGAGGCCTCGTCTGGCATTCGTCTTTGATGCTCCTAAGCAAAGAGGTTTACTGAAACCACCTGCGCAACTGGCTTCAAAGATTTAATTGGTGATTTTATCTCATTCTTGGATTTTATTTTGTAGGGAAGCGCGTAATAAATTTTACAGGGAAAAGGATTGCTGAATTCGAAATGGTAAGTTTTTGTCAACAATGCGTGTCAGTAGGGTGCCAACATGATAACACGGCGAAGCTTAGTATGCGGAAGATTTTTGCGTAGGTCTGATACACGTTGTACTTGGTTATACTGGAGCACGTAATGACATTTGGTAAGATCAGTTGAACAGGAAATCGCCACTTCAATAGCTGGAACGTCATGATAAACTGTACTTGTGTAGATGCAGAGAAAAGGGAAGAAGTAGGTGACCTAGGAACATAGTTGTAAACATCACCTCATCTATGGACGTGACCAAGATATTGAGGAACATATTTCCCTTAAATCTTTCCGTTTTCTTTCGACGATATCAGTTGACATTATTGTCGAAATTAGCAAAAGCAAATCTTGAATCGAAAATAAATGCCATTTCCTAAGGTGATATCTACATTCGGCTTCCTTAAATACAATTTTTCAAGTTATATGTAATCAATATTTTTGCAATCAGTAGGACTTATAGGACACTACGAATACGAATTTCTTTGCACTCGAAGATAAAATCCACATCCACGCGCGCGGCCATGTCATATCCTCTATTATTAGAGCATATTGAATCAGTACCACGGTTATATTAGGCTTTGTGTTTTTGTATTCGTAGCCAAACAGTTCGGATTGCTCACAGACGGATTCCAATGCGTATAAATCAGTTGCGATTCTCTTATAGTCAACTGGATAACTGGTTGTTGGACTTCAAAGTCTGTCTCAATACACTCTCCACGCCGTGGGCGATATAATTTCTAACACTTTCTGTTTTCCGAGGTACTTTTAGTTTCAGAAAAAAAAATACCCTTCTTATGTGTTAGCCAGCCCCAGCTCCTCAAAAACACCTGCAACGGCGAAAGAGTGAGAACTGCTGATAACAGTCGCATCGATCGATATGGAAATGTTTTGTCGGACCGTACGCTAAAATCGTTGAGGTGGGTATTCCTCCTTTTTACTCCATTTTCGTTCCACTTTGCCCTGGGGCGTGAATCTATGTATTTCGTTCCCCTTGCGGCTTTGCAACTCCGTCAAGCGTCGAGTACGCACTCCAATCATACGACCTCGCATGTAAAATCGTCTCTATACGACACAACAAATCTCGACACAAGCTCGAGTCAACGTTTCGATAGCTACTAGATACATATTCAGATCACATTTAAGGAAGCCGAATGCAGATATCACCTTAAAAGGTGAGATTTATTTTTGGATTTCAAAATTTCCTCTTGTTGATTTAATCGATGAGGTACATTAATAGCGTTAAGAGGAAACAGAAAGATTTAAGCGAAATGTGTTCCTTAATATCTTGGTCACGTCTGTAGTAGGTCATGTTTACTACTTTCAATTCCTGGGTCACTTACTTCTTCCCTTTTCTCTGCATCTACACAGTTTATCACGACGCTACAGCTATTGCAGTGGCGATTTCCTGTTCAATTGACATGAAGTCAGTGTTCATTATGTGCTCCAGTTAAAACCAAGTACAACGTGTAACAGATGTACACAAAAATCTAGCGCATGAGCTTCACTGTGTAATGGCCATCATATCATGTGTTGTTTCTTTCATCATCTGCTTTTATTGAGGTTAAAGGTGGCACCCCACAGGAACGTGACTGTGGACGAAAAATTATCCTTTTCAACTTTTGCGATTCTTTTCAGTTTCATTTTTTTTTCGTCGTTCATATAAAACAAAATAATCTAAAAATGAAATAAAAAACACCATCATATCCAGAAGCCAGTTGCGACGGTAGCTTTAAGGAACTTCCTCTTTGCGTAGGGCAGCAATGACGAGTGCGTGACGAGGCCTCACGGGCTGAGATCTATACAAGATTGAAACTAAACTTATTTATTCTCTGAATAGCTACCGATTTGCTCTGGAATTAAATCGCACTTTGCAGCAATGAAAACTCATTTTTGTCACATTTACGTAACTTTTTTTGTCTGCATTAAACTTCCGTGATCTTCTAGGATATGTCAGGATATGTTAAGATATGTGCTGTAAATTGCTAACGGTATCCTCCTCCAATAGGATCAGAGCTTCTGGCGACATCTATTTTACCGCTATGACAGCGTCTCTGAGCGTCTAAAAAATACCAATTTATACAGCAGCCTTCAGGTCTCCAGGGCCAAACCCATTTTTTGGTAATTAGTACTGTGGTCAACTTTTTAAACTTGAATCTTTTGGTGAAAAACCTAAACTTGTCAAGCTTGTACTTCAGCTGTATGTCTGAAAGCGTGACCTAAATCTTCGTGACATTCGATCTCTCTTGAAGGGTTGCAACACAACTCGATGGATTTTGACAATGGACAATTGGTAAAGGAATTCTAATTAATTTGAAGGAACGCCAACATAAACGTAAAGCAATGCGCGAGTATAACTCCATCAAGCTAGGGGAAATGAAAACAGATTTGGAACAAAAGAGCACTCCAGCCGTTCTTTTGTCAAATATGAATGACTTTGAATGCTGAACATTTCAACCGGATTGTTTTCCAGAATGATGAGTTCCTTAAGCCAAAAGGTCGGGCTAATTAGTGAACCAAGCCACGTTTTGTATTACCTGTCAGTGTTTAAATCTGTTTCAGCTTCCATTAGCAATAGTGACCAAACAATCTCATTGCCGCCAGATCATTTTAGTGTCGGCACAGCTGAAACGCTCAGCATATAAACAGCTCTAGGCTCCATCTCGATGAGTTCTGACGGATTTTTACCTGATCACCACAACGGTTCAAATCAACACAGTATATCTGCTGACAAAAATGGTATGTGCTTTAGCTGTCTTTTTGAAATCCCATATTTGAAATGTGTCTTACATTAGGCTGTTTATTAATACAATCAGTCAAGCTTGTTTCTCTGTTTGAAATATAAATATTTTCTGCTGCGTGCTACAAGCACCTTATTTGTACAAACTTTACAAGCAACGAAGTGACTAGTAGTCCTAAATAATGGCATCTTCTACTGGGAAACTTACTTAATAGCGCCCTTCTGTCCCTAACCAATAAAGATGTGTTTGACTTCCAGATTGTGTTTTTGGTCAGCATTCTTTTGATCACCTTGAATGGAGTGCAAGTAAACTGCATTGTGAGTTTTGATTAATTATTTTACTATTTTCTTGACCAGCATACATATCTGAGCTATTTAAGCCGATCGTATTCACTAAATTTGAGGAGGTTTACTTATCATTATCATTTGATATTTCAACATGACAGACTGAGAGCTATTCCTTCCGTGTTTCTGAAAATGGAGCAACGTTTACCGAAGATGTAGAATTGAATGTCGACAATCAAACCGAAGTGTTCCGTGTTCCTCAGCACAACGATGTGGACGCAATGGAAATGATGAATGACTTTAAAGAGGTAGGGTTGGTAAATTTTAAGAAGAAAGTGTAAATTACGGCACTACGTTGAGTGAATTTCTGTTTTTTTTTTATTTTTTGTAATCGGTTGTACTTTTAAAAATTGATAAAATGTGACAGAACAAGAACCGTGATATTTTTTTAAACGCTCCGTCTTTTGGATACATTACTTAATTATTTAAACGGACAACATCTGTTAAGTCAGGTTTTTTCTAACAAATATTAGCAAAATTGGACTCCCCCAAAATGTAGAAACCCGTAAACCAGAAATCATTGTCGTCAAATGTCAGCAATTTGTTGGCAGTTATGCACAGAGACTTAGGTGTCTCACAGCATATCCGCATATTTGAATATAAGCCTAATTCTACTCGTCTTTCAGGGAAGTAGATTGACTGCAGCACACACATTAGTGATAAAAGCCAAACAAACGAAATAATTTAACCCCAAAGTTTACCTAGTCTCCTTCGCAAAGAAAGACCGCGCGCGTGACATGCAAGCACGACTGCGACGGAGGGTCGAGTTTATGTAAACGATACCAAACTGTGTAGGCGGTTCAGCATTTGCACCAATGTTAGAATGAACCAACTAATGAAGATATAAATACATCTTTCCACAGGGTTTGTCTGTTTACCGAGTACCATCAGCACGTGCCTGCTATGTATCTAAGCTGGATTCATCTCTTCCAGAGCCAGGGAAGATGAGGGTCAACATGGAACAGGTAAAAGCAAAGAGATTATAAATCATAGAATAAAATCTATTGGTAGAGTGAAGAGTTTTGAAATTTCATTTCTATGTCATTTAGAACTTTGTATTTGTTGAAGAGGACTTTACTTTTTCGTTTGACCTTTTTTTATTTCCCTTTCGTGACAGAGCCACAGTCCACGTTATTCGTCCAGTCAATATACTAATCCTTAAAACCTTTAAGTTACCTCCAGCGACCACATTAGCAATCATTTAAAAAAGTCGGAAAATCGTTATGACAGCTCCAGTTAGGGTCCAGTAACCGAAGCTATGAGATTTATTAAAAAACAAATGATTTTGATGCGAGACTCCAACATCTATGCTTTTCTTACAACTATATATTTAGATTATTGAATGTACCATATTTAGGCAGCCTCAGTTATGGGTTATGGAGGTTCCGCCTCGTTGCAAGTTCATCCCACTGTCAATTCACTTCAAGTCCTTAACACAGCGACACATGTTTCTTCAACTAACGAAATCATAATAGATTTGATTAATATGCAAATTTCATTGCATGCTGTTAATAAAACGCTAGCCTGGGCAAGCATGCTAAGTGGATTTTAACCGACGGCCGCTCTACATGATACATGAGCTAACGCGTGACTAAGTGATAAATACAATTTGGAGCATTTTTTAAATTGTCAGGCATTACTGTCTCGGTTCTATGTTCTTCATTGCTCATGTACAGGCCTCGATGCAGCCTCGCTCACCCCGTCATGTGACAACCAAGAAAAGGGCTTGGAGAGTGGGGGGTTTTGCGAAGCGATCAGCTTTGCCTCAGAAGTTTCTGGATTTCTGTGGCAGTTTTCCAATCTATACCATTGAACAAACGTCGATGGATTTTAGTGTGAGCTCGCTTAGGAGAGGTGGGTTAAATATTAAAAAAAATTTGTCAACTAAATCGATCGCCCGTAATTGATGACATATGTGTCATGTACAGGCGTTGTAACTTCATTTGTTCCTAGACTTATATGATTTGATGTGCAACCGAATGTAATTAGATGATCTTGCATGAAACATTATTTACGTTTTTACTATTGTTCTTTAGTTTTCTCTCTTTACTACTGTCTATAGACTATAGAAGTATCACTTTTGGTGATAAACGTGTTTCTTTGCTCTAAGGTTATGGCCGTTTCAAAAGGAGTGGAGCAGATACGAACCCCTTTACATTTAGTGAATTTGCCACATGTGGTCCAAAAAGTAAGGAAAAGTTGAAGGAGTGTATGAAAAAGGCGATTCAGGAACAGATGGAGACTGGTGACCATGAAATTTATGATTTGAGGTGCAAATTCGGTAAACATCTTTGTTATTACGTGGTTGACTGCCACCCTGTCGGTCAAAACGCGTATGAATGTAAAAAAGTAAGACACATGGTAGATTTCATCGGATTTTGCTGTGATGTAGTATGTCTTATATGAATTAGTAAATTATAATAAAAAACTTGATAAAATACATGCTTATCTTAGAGTTGACTGATAACTTCTGAAAATCAGTCAACGAACGCTAGAATAATATTCGGTAAGAAGCAGTTACGCTTAGATATTTTAGTTAACTGAAAACCCCGCTTTTTTTAAGAAAAAATATTTAGCATTAAATTTGTTTAACGAGACCAATTTTATAGTATGTTAAAGTGATTTTATAAATTAATGTTAAGGGAAAAAGTAAGTAAGTGATTGCCTGTATAAAAGATAGTGTTGATGTTGTGTTTTATCTGCGCTGTATCATAGGAAACTTACTGCTTTTTATGTTTATTAAAGTGGAATAAATGAAAAGAGAAAATAAGATATTGGACTGTTTTCCTTTTGTTTTTCGACGAAGAATTGAGGTATCATGACAGAGAAGAAACTTTCTCCTGCAAGTGTTGTGCTTCACGTAGAACTGGTTTTGCACGAGATGCTTCCATTTTAAAGATGTCCATGAATATCACCCTTCTGATTGGCTGAAAACTAGTGCATTCCCATGTAAAAGGAGTGAAAATAACAAACAGCGCGCGCACGCTTTCAAAATTTCGTCTGTTTTGACTTTCTTTGGTGGTTTTTCATGTACGTTATTATAGTGAGGACACTCGCACCATGAACACCTAGACTTTTTCCCGCTTTTTGGTATCATCCAATCACAAGCTCACTTCATATCGAGGCGTGCAAATTTTATATGATATTATATTGAATCAGCTAAGAGTTGGTCATGGCTAACAAAAGCGAAGTTTTCTGTTTTCTGGAACTTGAACAAAAGTATGCGAAAGTTAAAAGCAATATGGCGGCGATCACGGCTCGATCTGCAAAGAAGAGTGTTTCGTACCATGAGTTATACAATTTGAGCACCGCAGATCTTCTATTTGATGAAAAGAAAAAGAAAAGAAGACCTGCAAGTAAATATTTGGGATTTTTCGAGGCAGAGCGATGACATGATGTCAGAATTTTGATTTGCTTTAATTTAATTTTCGCGCTAAGACTACTGAATTTGCATTCAATGCCTGGCGTATTTTTACTGGGATACCTGTGGTAGCCCAGTCATAAAATGCCTTTGTTTTTTTGTCGTCTTTTTACTGGGATACCTGTGGTAGCCCAGTCATAAAATGCCTTTGTTTTTTTGTCGTCTTTTTACTGGAATACCTGTGGTAGCCCAGTCATAAAATGCCTTTGTTTTTTTGTCGTCTTTTTACTGGGATACCTGTGGTAGCCCAGTCATAAAATGCCTTTGTTTTTTTGTCGTCTTTTTTTTTTTTTTTTTTTTTTTTTTTTCCTCCGCCACAAAATGGAAAAATTGCGCAATAGTACCCAGAGGTCATTGGGCCCTCAACACCATGACAACTAACTGTGATCCAATGAGGTGTTCACATGCTGATCACGCGTGCTATCTTGATGATGATTGACGTTGTCATGCACGGACAGGGCCGGGTCACATGACGAACACGAGATTTTTGCCCATAAAACTCTTTTGTCAGTCGTTTTGTATTTCAATGTGTTTGGATTACGATCATCTGGAGCATTATGGCGCAAACGCTCAAAATACTTATAGACGCATACACAAGTCGTATTGTTCGCGGCCAATCCACACAAAAAGATGTTATTGAGCGGTAATTTTGGAACGGACTGAATCGTGAACGCTTGAAGGCCACGAAAGCATTAAATGCCTTGTATGTCTCGATTAACTATGATGCCAGGGAACGTAGCTACGATAACGAATTGTATTAAATTCACGATCAGAAAGATGAATCTTATGTTTTTTTTCCATTGTAGTTGTATGGATATTCTTTTTTAATAAATACATGATCCAAAATCCCGTGTTTGTTGTGTATAATGTTATTATGTTAAGTATTGTTTACGCAATTGTCTTGTCACAGGCAACCCAAGGTCACGTCTCGAGAAAGAGCCAACGATTAATTCACGAACGCGTTACGCGTTGTGTGACTCAGAGTAAGTTATGCTAGGAACCGTTGAAAATTTGAACACGTTATTAGGAATAGTATAGGGAACGAAATATGGTCGATTTACAACGATAAATCTTTCGAAATATGAAGATTTTTCTCGTAAAATCAATAAAACTTACTCATACCCTGTGTATCCGTTGTAATTTCTGGCGATTGTTGCCGTTTTAAGCTTGCTTTACCATCACTATTATTCACGTCATCTACTTTTATTACATTGGTAAAATCTGTACAGACATCACACCAACCAACTATGTTGAAGGCTTGAAATTATATTACGATCGATTTTCATCAAGAAATGGGCCAGGAATTTTCCACAATAGTGCAAATAATCGTGAAGGCTGATCGCGGAAAAGCGATTGCGTGACGCTCGGTAAGCTGTAAGATGACATGTTATTATATACCAGACGTAAAAACTCTTCAGATTCTCAGTCTGCATTTTGTACCCACTCTGCAGTCTATATTTTGTATCCGGTCTGCAGTCTGCTGTCTACATTTTGTACTAACAGGTATCCGTGGCACCAATACAGTTTATTTTTGGTTACATTTATTCGCACAACACACATAATCTACCACAAAATACCTGTGTGTGAGGTAATTCGACATTTTCATTCTTTCCCGCGTTAATAATCTTCTTTCCTTTTGCAAGAATGTAAACCACTTACAATGTTTCAAGTAATCCACCCACCCTAGAAAAAATAACTCTTGCATGCATAGCATGCCTATGTTTTGAGACAGGTGTATGCCCTTGGCCAGACTTGAGCTCACTATTTCAGTATACTAGTCCGACACGCGTAGTATCACTACACTTGATTCCACGGATCCAGTACCATCCAGGTATCCCAGTTACCCTGCTCACAGGGTCTAGTTTTTTTTTTTTTTTCCTCCGCCACAAAATGGAAAAATTGCGCAATAGTACCCAGAGGTCATTGGGCCCTCAACACCATGACAACTAACTGTGATCCAATGAGGTGTTCACATGCTGATCACGCGTGCTATCTTGATGATGATTGACGTTGTCATGCACGGACAAGGCCGGGTCACATGACGAACACGAGATTTTTGCCCATAAAACTCTTTTGTCAGTCGTATTGTATTTCAATGTGTTTGGATTACGATCATCTGCAGCATTATGGCGCAAACGCTCAAAATACCTATAGACGCATACACAAGTGGTATTATTCGCGGCCAATCCACACAAAAAGGTGTTATTGAGCGGTAATTTTGGAACGGACTGAATCGCGAACGCTTGAAAGCCATGAAAGCATTGAATGCCTTGTAATTGTCTTGTATGCTAAGTATGCCCATGTCTTAGTTGAAAACGTTACCTCGTTGTAAAAAGCAAAATCTGAAACCAAACTGCATATACCCTATGCAATCTATTGAACAACACTATTACCGTGAGACTGAAGAACAAAATTCAAATGGATGCAAACTGCTTGTGAAGAAAGACGCCATGTTGGATTCACTTGATGCCAGGGAACGTAGCTACGATAACAGTGCGAATGGTATTAATTTCACGATCAGAAAGGTGAATCTTATGTTTTTTTCATTGTAGTTGTATGGATATTCTTTTTTAATAAATACATGATCCAAAATCCCGTGTTTTTTGTGTATAATGTTATTATGTTAAGTATTGTTTACGCAATTGTCTAGTCACAGGCGACCCAAGGTCACGTCTCGAGAAAGAGCCAACGATTAATTCACGAACGCGTCACGCGTTGTGTGACTCAGAGTAAGTTATGCTAGGAACCGTTGAAAATTTAAACATGTTATAAGGAATAGGGAACGAAATATGGTCGATTTACAACAATAAATATTTCGAAATATGAAGATTTTTCTCGTAAAATCAATGAAACTTACTCATACCCTGTGTATTCGTTGTAGTTTCTGGCGATTGTTGCCGTTTTAAGCTTGCTTTACCATCACTATTATTCACGTCATCTACTTTTATTACATTGGTAAAATATGTACAGACATCCCACCAACCAACTATGTTGAAGGCTTGAAATTATATTACGATCGATTTTCATCAAGAAATGGGCCAGGAATTTTCCACAATAGTGTAAATAATCGTGAAGGCTGATCGCGGAAAAGCGATTGTGTGACGCTCGGTAGGCTGTAAGATGACATGTTATTATATACCAGTCGTAAAAACTCTTCAGATTCTCAGTCTGCATTTTGTATCCACTCCGCAGTCTATATTTTGTATCCGGTCTGCAGTCTGCTGTCTACATTTTGGACTAACAGGTATCCGCGGCACCAATACAGTTTATTTTTGGTTACATTTATTCGCACAACACACATAACCTACCACAAAATACCTGTGTGTGAGGTAATTCGACATTTTCATTCTTTCCCGCGTTAATAATCTTCTTTCCTTTTGTAAGAATGTAGACCACTTACAATGTTTCAAGTAATCCACCCACCCTACAAAAAACAACTCTTGCATGCATAGCATGCCTATGTTTTGAGACAGGTGTATGTCTTTGGCCAGACTTGAGCTCACTATTTCAGTATACTAGTCCGACACGCGTAGTATCACTACACTTGATTCCACGGATCCAGTACCATCCAGGTATCCCAGTTACCCTGCTCACAGGGTCTAGTTTTTTTTTTTTTTTTTTCCTCCGCCACAAAATGGAAAAATTGCGCAATAGTACCCAGTGGTCATTGGGCCCTCAACACCATGACAACTAACTGTGATCCAATGAGGGTGAAGGTGTTCACATGCTGATCACGTGTTATCTTGATGATGATTGACGTTGTCATGCACGGACAGGTCCGGGTCACATGACGAACACGAGATTTTTGCTTAGAAACTCTTTTGTCGGTCGTTTTGTATTTCAACGTGTCTGGATTACGATCACCTGAAGCATTATAGCCCAAACGCTCGAAATACTTACAGACGCTTACACAAGTCGTATTGTTCGCGCCAATCCACACTAAAAGATGTTATTGAGCGGTAATTTTGGACCGGATTGAGTCGCG